AAACACGTTTTAATTCGATTCCCTCAGAAATAATGATTTGAATGGTGAAAACTACTTAATACCGAGATCTTTAACATATTAGAACCTAATAAACTGTGGCCATCAATATAGATTTTCGACGTCCAAAGAAAGCTGAGACCGACACGTTGAAATGTCTACCGAATGCTTGTTTGAAATTTGCTTCTTAATCATGCCATTAAAAGGATTTAACTGTCGGATATCAATCGAATTCATAATTTCTCCAAATGTAAGACTCGATGAGACTGACTATCGTAAGTTCAAAAGAACTTTCCTTGTACATTGCCAATCCGAATTGATGACTGCTTTCGTTCAATATGAAGCCTTAAAATAAGCTACCTAGTCGAATATTGAGTAAGACTGACATGATCTGACTTTATTAAATTATTTTGGAAATTTCAGTTAGAAAAAGAAACATCATTTCTAATGAAGACATTGCATAATTAAAGATTTTGAGTACCAACTCTTTTGATCATTAAATATCTCATAGAACAAATTAAACTTTTCAAACAAAAAACCCTCTAGACAATCACATGACAGGATGACCTATTCAAGGTCAAAATGTCAAGTCATATTTATATTATTCGATCATGCACAAGACCGAATACTTAGATATGACTTGAAATTTTTCATTGACCAAGAACTTTCTGAACATCATATATTATAAATATACTAAATTCTCGTGATTCTCATGTATCTTAGTTACATGTATATGTTTGATATAAAATCAATGAATCTATAAAACTGATATTTGCTCGAATAATTGTATTGTATATAACAATTTTCAAAAGAGATATTTCAAAGAATTAGTTAACTTAGCCTTGAAAAGACTCAATATTTCTACATTCAAGTATTTAGAATAGAATCTTCAAAACTTTGTGAGTTATATTTTAATGATTTCAATATTTATTACCATATCTCGGAATGCATTTCGACGAAAAAATGCTTTACATGATTCACAAGTTATTTGATCAAAATTATAGCCATATGCTGGTCCACCACAAACACGACATTCGAAATTTGATTTTTTAGATTTTTTTCCTGCATTATTATGTGATAATGTTGATAGTTGATATTGATGAATCTAACGAAAAGAATGAATAATATTATATTACAAATACTTCATATACATTTAAATCATTTAC